CACTTATTCTTAGCGTGTGTTGCATATTAACTAAGTTGAAAAATTAGGCTATTCATCTTACAAATTTCATTCTAAAAAAAACCGCTCACTTAACAATCTAAAGATCCAGTCACTTGACAACATACTCAAGGGCAAACTTTCAGTCACACTGCCTGAGAATAAAAAACCAAAAAAAAAAAACTTATCTTATTTGCTTGTTCGCAAATTAAAATTAACAATTGGACTTTCCCAACGACTGACAGCGTGCAAACATTTGCACACACTTGTATACTCAAACAGAATAATTTTTGATGAACGGCCTACCGACCGAGCAAACAAGCGGTGGATTTGCCGGCCGGCCGGCAAACAAATTTGCCGCACACTCGCTTTACCCCCTCACGCTTCCCCCCCACACACACATACACACACAGACGAACCATATGTTCAGACACTTTAGTATCAAAGTGGCGACAAAGGCAGTTCGTTTCCCCGCAGAGAAACCGCGGACTAGTGACTCAAATTTCTAGTTCCGAACAAGATCTTTATCAGTCCAAAATCAGCGAAATGTGGGACTTTTAAAAAACTATTTTATTTCATTTTTTCTATTAGACATCTATATCAAAGGTGACGAATTTATAACTGGTTGGGAATTATAGAAAAAGGAATGCAGAACGAACTAAATCTTATCTGGCGAATTTAGAACTAGCTCGAAACGTATGTAGGTATGTGTTTGGTGGCTTTTTCGTTCAAAAACGCTTCCATACTGCACTTCGCAGATGCTATTTCATAGCTTGGTAATACAAAACAAAAATTTGTGTTAACATTTTAACATCTTGGGATCTTCTGGAATCTAACCAATAACAGCAAGCACCTCTGCAAACTCAGCTACAGCCAAAGATACGTAAACGTACACTTCTTACAATAATTCAAACAAATTTAATTTCAAATTGAAAACACATTTCTTTGAAAATAATTTAAAATCCGACACACAGAAGAACCAAAAAGATTGAAAAATCATTATACTTTTTTCTTTCATCTGTCGATTGTAGGACTGGTTCGGAACTATAGAATTTAGAACTAGTTCAGAACTAGCGAAAAAGGAATGAAGCGTGGGACAATCCTAGGACATCGCTATGTTAAATTCGCCAGTTTTTTGCACGCAAAAGAGATTTATCGCGAGCCAGTACTGGGTCTAAATGCACTAGAAGCACACCAGTTCAGAACTAGAGATTTTCCACACCGGGTTATTACTTGAACACACTTACCCATGCAATCGACTCATGGTGATATCACCGGCGTCGTCCGCCACCACCAAGTAATCGGTAGCTGTATCCAAGCCAGTTACACGTCCGGATACGTATTTGGAACCAAGACTTGAGCCGTTGATGCTGTAGACATGCACCGAATGCGAGGTATCGTCCAGCGCGCTGAATGCAATGTGACCTGGAACAAACCAGAATAAAGAGTACGTATATATTATTTTTTTTTGTGTAAAAGAAATAGAGTCAAGTGGAATTGAAAACATATAAATGAAATAAACGATGTGGTTTAAGAGAAAAAAAAAAGTCAAATGAAAAATGAAAAACCACTTCAAACATTTTGCTTGCAAATTACGAAACCATTTAAACACAGATTGCATGTGTGCATCTCAGCTGGCCTACGTGCAATTATACCTGCAGGGAAAACTTAAGATGATGTGTACAAAATCTACGACCCATCTAGTGATGTTTATATTTTAAGGGGGTTTTAAGATTGTCTATATGTAAAAGTAATCGTCGACCGCTGTAGCAGAGTGATTAGAGATGCGTAGGACCTACATAGATTTCCGAGCAACTTAAAACAAAACAGAAGTTTTTTTCCTAAATACGATAGCCCCTAAGCAGTCGAGACTCCGTTATACTTCTGACATGAAAAATCATTTCATAAAAGCCAGTATAAGACTGCAGGTCCCTCCATTTCTGAAAATTGGTGGAGAAGCTCTCGAGGTTTCGAGGGACCTACGCCGCTAACGAATGGCAGGTTGTTTTCAGCAGATTGACCGCTGTGATGCCATGTAGATTCTGAGCAGAGACTCTGTTGGTATTACTTAAGCCACTTGTATTGCAAACAGATTATAAAATTTTAACCATCTGGCTTCCAAATTTTCCTTCTATTTCCGTTCAATTTTTAGTGAATTTTTTCGTTTTCGTATGTGCAACTTCATACACACATGCATATGTACATACATACATATGTACTATGTAAATAAGATCAAACAAAAGCTTAACGATCACTTGAATGTCTAGGCTCTTCAACGCTTGCGCTAACTCGTATGCACCGGTTATACAATAAATGTAGCAGGCAGTCGGTAGACATCTGCTTTTCCAATTGGCAACTTGATTAAGTCCGGCAAAAAGAGCAAAGTTAACAACAACAACAACAATAACAAATAGCAAAAAATAGCAACAAACGCGATCATAGGCCGGTTGAACCTGGCAGTCAAAAGAACATACATACGTACTTACAGAGAAAAAAATGTGAGAAACTGGGTGTGATTGAATGATTGCCATACCAAATGCATAGTGCCACTTACGAGGCTTTATTTTTTATTTTTTGAGTATTTTCCAAGACAATCCAGATATTTTTGCGTTCCTTTGAATCAACTTTCGAAAGAGTTTTGCTGCCTTGAATTTTCTCAATTCTAAATCAGAGAGCCTCAAGGGCCTGTTCGGGCTATGCAGCTTGTTTTTAATATAAGATAACAATTTGTTGTTGTTACAATGCATAATAACAAAATATCACACCTTCCACTAGATCAAGCCAATGTTACCATAACAATAATGCGGTTTAAGAACAAAAAATCACTAAAGCCGAGCCGTTGGGGACCGAACGAGGATTTAGACAAGGGGCTCGGTACAAGCCTCATAATGACATGAATGGGATAGTGTCAATCTTAGAAAGATCCTTCGAATTGGCATATATTGCAGGTCAACGAAAGCAGTGCCTACCCAAGAACACAATGCAATGGCCATGTACAAAATGATCTGCCTACACTGGGGCTGTACTACTGACACAAATTCGCAAAGCAGAAAAGCAATAAGCGAAGGTTTTTTCTCCCGGCTCAAGGTTAGGTTAAGTTGAAGTGGCTGCTAGTGGATACCCCAACACACTTGGGTACTCAAACGGGCTGGGCACCGGAAGACCAAACTAATTTTGTACTGATAGTAGTTCCGTGCCATAGTTCTCAGCTAGATATTCTATTTGGTCGACGTTGTCACACAGTGTGTGGGCGAATATTCCACTTACGACTATTGCAAGGTCGTCAGTATACGCAGTATTTCTCACCTTGCGGACGAATAAAATTTTGGACTCTCTCCACCTATTGGGTAAGTGATTTAGAGTGAAAACTCCTGAGTGTGTGAATTCTTACCCAGAAGATCTTCCCTTTGGAGATAATTTCATTTATGATGGGATTACGGTTTACTAGGTGCTGCTCCTCCATCATATTTTGCAGAGCGTCGGGTAAATTAGTTGTACCAACGGGACATACGACAGCGAAATTGTGGCAATTGGTTTTCAACGCACTACAGGCTTTCTTATTGAAAGACCCGATACAGAGAAGGTATTAGGGAAATTTAATTAAAAGATATATTTTTTATTTTATTTTTCATTTCACATTTTATTTTAAAACAGAAACTACATACAAATTAACATAGGAAAAAATAAATTAACAAATAAGAAAAAATGAACAAAATAAATTCCTAAAAAAAAAATTAAATTTAAAGCAAAATATTTATTTTTTTTAATTATATTTAAAAATTAAAAGAAAATTTTATGAAAAAGAAAAAATTAAATCAAATAAGTTTCTAAAAATTTTATTAAATTAAATATTTTTCGTTTTAAAACAATAAAGTTTAAAAATTAGTACAAATTAAAAAAAAATAAATAAAAATTAAATGAAATTAAAAAAAATAATTTTGTTCTTTTTAAACGAAAATCTAAGAGATTAAAGAATTTTAAATTAAAAACGAAAAAAAATATTAAATGAAAGAAAAAAGGAGGTTCTCTGTGCTTTACTAGAAGCATTTTACAGTCCCTAAATTTTTTATTTTTATCCGTGGATACAAACTAAAGAACGATTGTAGTGCCAAATAGGAAGAAGAAGAAAAATGTGGTGCCACTGTAGATAACAAAAGAAGCGTGCGTACATTAAAAGGTGTTATGTATGATTATCCCAAAAAAGTGTCTAAATTTAATTACAAATTTCAAAATTTATATAGAAATTGTGTTTTACCTAGGCGCAAGATTTCAAATGTAGCCCTCGTGCAATACTCAAATGTACATATACATACATATATGTGTATGTAGATCATAAAAACCTACATACTAACACGAGAGATTTTTTTTTTCAGATCTACAACAAATCATGTGTCGAGCCGCCTGCCGTTCGGTCAGTTGACAGCAAACATTTTTTCTTGGCAGATGGTCACTTGTGCTCATACATACTTAGTACATTTATATGTATGTACATACATACTTACTTAGTACATAAAGATGCCAGCTGGACTGGCAAAGAGTCGGTTGTGACTGGTTGCAATTGGTTTGACCACCAACAATACCACCTTCAGAGTTATGCCAGTGATTGCATGTCAAACATTTTGTATTTCACACATATGTATGTAAGTGATTTAAACAATTGTTACATTTACACACAAACATACGCACGTGCATATGTACATATGTAGTATGTAGAAGTTTTTAAGTGCATGCTCTTAAGTGGCATGTCATGCATGTTATGTAGGATGCATTTACAATCAAATACAATTGACCGCATGCCAATTTGTCGAGACGAATTAACAAACGAAAAAAAAAAACGATTTTCTTTTAGCAATTCAAAGCCATTTTTCGTTAATTCAAACTCAATTAAGCCTACGCGTAGCAGCACTCCGGTGGAGCGGCGAGGCTTCTTTTTAGGCGCTGGGAAACACGTTTTGTTTGCATGCAAAAAAAAGAAAAAATATGGCTTGTGCGGCGATAACTAGTTATGCCACAATTCAACGAAAGATAAGCTTTAATTAAAGCTTTCAACGTTTTCGCACAGTTACTTGATTAATTATATTGTACTTAGTTAAAGTAGGTGAGTGGTTTTCACTCAAACTAAATGGCTGTCAATTCGTGTTTTAAGAATGATTTTATAAGCGTGTATTTCCTGTAGCGAAGTGCAATTAGACGCGATAGGCTGTTAGATTAAAAATTAGGGTGGTCTAAAAACGCGCATGGAAAAGAGTAAGGTGCGAATTTTAATGCTCTCACTACTTATAATTGTTTCTATATTGAAAAAGCTTATATTGCTATTTTTTATTTCGAAATCAAAAAATATTTCCGAGTCACGAATTTGTGTGTTTTTTTGTTCCCTGAATGCCACTATTCAATACTCATGTAAAATTGCTCGCTGATTTCGAAAATCGAGTTAACCGCTTTTCTATCGATAGGTGTTCCGAGATATTTGCAATTTACCGTTATTCGGAAAAAAGTGGTTCCACTTAATTACGTATGTATATCTAAAAGCTAACAAAATTCTCCATAAACCTACATCACTTTTCGACTTTGATGTTTTTTTTTGATGAAAAAATTAAAAAAAAAAATTAAAACTTTAACATGAGGGAAACAAAAAAGAATGACGATTTTTTTGCAAATTTCCTTTATAAAAAAAACTTAGGATTTTTGTATGCAATATGAGCAGGAGAGGGTGCTACATGGCGTATGGTTGCGCATTTTCATTTGAGCACTAATTCCTTTTTTATTTATTCATAGATTTTCTTCATTCGTAGCTTGAAATAATAAAAGAACAATGTACACAGAAACTGATATTTTTAAAATTTTTCCCCTTTTAAAATTTTGATATTTTTTCGTTTTTTCATAAAAAAAATTTGGAATGATCAATTAATTTCTCAGAAACTTTCAGGTCTATCGAAAAATGATGTATATACGGGTATGAAAAAAAGTCTTGAAAATGGTATAGAATTTTTAAAAATCAATATTTTTCATCCATATAAAACATATAAAAAATAGCTCTGATTAAAAAATGGTTAAATATACAATTCGGTAATATTATTTGAAGTCTCCTGAAGAGGAACAAAGTTTTCGGATAGAAAAATATTGATTTTCGTGATTCTATACCAGTTCTACAAAATCCCCCCCCCCCCCCCCCCTTCCCCCGCTTTGAGTGACCTGTAAATATTTTTTTTTAAATTTCAAAGTGAAAAAAACAGGTATAATTTTTTTTTGGCATACAACATGGGTGAGAGCATTAAAATTCCGGCTTTACTTTTTTTGGACCACCCTCCACTAGTATCTACTCGC